AAGAGAAATACTAAATACTGGCATGAAGTCAGACTTCCAGAAGGAACAGATGGAGGAAAAACAGGAATCAAAGATTAACAGAAGAAAACTTATTTAGGCTCTAAAAACAAATGTTAACTTCCAGACTTAGTTATGAGTGCCAAGCCTGCTTAGTGAACTAAGATTTCCCTTAAAAATATCTTGGTGATATTTTTCATCTCCAGATATTAAAAAATTATAATTGAAGTAATAAAAGTATTCTAGAACAGGTGATGATGGTGGTGGCACAGTACTGTAAATGTACTAAATGTTGCCAGTGGTAAATTTTATGTTATATGTATTTAATTGCAATCAAAAAATCAAAATAATATAACCAAAAGCCATAAATTATTTCTATCCCTACACATATACCCATTATCAATGTGAACTTTAGTTCCTCCCATTAACAGGTAGACTCTGAGGGACTAGGCGTATAACCCTGTGGTACGGCACTTGGCTTGCATTTGTAAGGCCCTAGATTCAATACCCAGCAAAGGGAAAGAAAAAAAAAAAAAAAAGAGGTGGAATCTGTTCTTCCCTCCTTGTAGTATGGATGTGGTTGTGTGATTTGGTTTTGCCTGTGGGCCATTAGCACATTTAATCTGAGCATAGGATTGAAAAAAGAATTTGGCCTCTTTTGTTCTTAGGAGATCTTCTACAGCCAGGAAAAGATTAGAGACCTTTTGGGATAGCTGACACCCATGAGATCAACTGGGTAGGTGAACAGGCCGGTCTATACTATCCAGCTCTGGCCAAACAACCAGCTAAAAGCAGAGATTAGCCAAGCTAACCCAGATCAGAACCACCACTGTTTGATCCATAGAACTGCAAGAAGTAATACATTTTTTATCTGTAGAACATAATAGCACAAGGTTTGTAAATTACAGGGGAGAAGAAAATAATTGTATTCTAAAGCAGCTTCCATTTGAGATATTGTAAGGAAACAATGTATAATTACTTCCCTTTTGAGAAAAGTTTTAGAGGAAATACTAAATCATTTATGTGGTAAAGAACTCAAGATGAGGATGTGCTAGGTAGATTTCTAAGATACAAGCAAAATAAACTGACCTTACTGGTTTCAAACAGAAAAGAAGTACATTTAGAGCCTAATGGGTAACTCAGAATTGCCCAGAAATCTCAGAAGTCAGGCTTAGAAAAAATACTTGAATAACATTAGCTTGTTTAAATTTCACAAAATGTTTCAGACTGGTTGTGGTGGCATGTACCTGTATTCCCAGTGCTTGGGAGGCTGAAAACAGTCTAATGTGTGTAATTAGCCCCTATACTAAATACATTAAAAAAAAAAAAAGGATGTTTTACCCAATGGCCAGAGAATTCAAATTGCTTTACAAATTCCTTAGAATGTTTGTAAATTTTGGTCACCAGGAACAGAAAATATGGAGGAACTAAAAAAAGAATAGCCACAGGCCTTACCCCCTATTTATAGTGCAACAAAATTAAAAACCACATAGAGATACACATTTCCTCCAGCTTTTTTTCAGCACTTGGAAATTTAACCAAAGAATTATTTTTTAGCAAAGTGCATAAAAGGATATTTAAAATAAAATAGGCTAATAGAAAAACATGATAGTACACAATAAATGAAAAGTTTTGAAGTGTAACCTATATATTTCAGAGAAGAAAATTTATAGTCTTAAAATGTTTTCCAAATAAATTCATTTTTATTGGTTCTTCATTAAGGGAAAAATTTATAAGAAATGGCCTTCTCTTTCTTAAAAATAGAAAAGGATGTATTTGGAGGAAGGGGGAAACAATGATTTTCATATTTTTACATTCAATCAAATGGAGAAACAGTAAATACTTCTAAAATTCAAACTAAAGATTCTGTAGGAGAAACTTTCTCATGATATGAAAC